GTACTTTCAGCATGACGGAGACCCTAAGCATCGCTCAAAATCTACCATAAAGTGGCTCAAGGACAATAATGTACAATACATTGACGACTGGCCTGCTCAAATCCCAGATTTGAATCCTATTGAGCACTTGTGGCATCATCTAAAGCTCAAACTTTCCAAGTATGATACCAAAGCTAAAGGGGTCCATGAATTGTGGGAAAGAGTAGAAAAGGAATGGAACTCTTTCACAAAAGACAATTGTAGAAAGTACATTGATAGTATGCCTGACCGTATTAAAGCAGTTATTGACGCCAGTGGTGGCTCAACCCGTTATTAATTTCATTTTTTAATAAATATGTTGCAGTGAAGAAACTCTAAAAACCGACCGTCTGACTTTGAACATTGATTGCTACGGGTACACGTAATTTCGGAGTCTTAAATTTATACACATTGCTGTAAACGATAATAAGGTTCTTTGCTTAAAGTTTGAGCCTTCTGCGTGACGAAATGGTGATGCAGTGCTTAAAAAACCGAAAAATCTGCTTGCGTGTTTAGAGTTTTTTCACCCACTGTATAACTACTGTAGTTACAAAAACCTGGACAACGTTTTTCAGAATCTCGCATTTTTTCACAAAGGTTTCTATATATGAAATTTTAACGCCCGACAACCTTAACACAATACATCGTATGTAAGCAGAATTCTTTGAAACGGTTGACTTTTATTTTGCGTTGAGTACGCTGGAAAATTAATAGCTGGTAGGTGAACAATAAGGCTACCGAGATCGGCAAAAAGCTATCCCATTTGTTAATACTACATTGATCCGCTGTTTACCTTAGTAACTGACGTCTTTTGTGACAACATACTGTCGATGCACCTTCTAAGATCATCCATACAGAAAGGGTTCCTTTCTCTATATAGCTTTTTCCAGAGTTCTTAACCTTTGCCAATGGCTGCCTTGTGAGGGTTACACTTAAGCCTTTAATGTCGCCGAACATGCTGTACTGGATCTCGATCGGAACTTTGACTTGGCCAATCTACTATACATCTTACACTTTCTATTGTCAGCCATGCTTCTGTAGATTTGGGCTGGTGCTTGGGATCGTTATCGTGTTGAAAATCAGCGATGCTCTTATCTGTTTCGTTATACACTGGTGAGCAAAACCGTACCAATGTTTCCATATTTTAGCTTTAACGATCGCTACGTCCGCCACATTTGCATAGAACAGGCCCTTGCTGTATATCAAATGAAAGCTACGGTTCTGCGCTACAAGATGCTATGCTAATGATAGCCATATCGCCAACATATAAGGAATGAGAGGGTGATGAAAATAGGTAGTGCATTGGTACGGTTTTGCTCGCGTATATTTATGTCAGAGAAAACTGTCTTTATTTAATATATCAAAGTCAATGTATCCTCCATTTGCGTCTATGACAGCTTGACATCTCCTATGCATAGTGCTTATATATTTTTAGCACTCCTCTGCTGTTATTGCATACCAAACGGCTGATGCTCTCTCCCAAAGTTCATTCAAT